TATCTACCCAGTAGAAATGAAAGCATGTCCATCCACCAACTTATACATAAATGTTCATACCAGCACTATTTTTAATCACCAGAAAGTGCTCTAAATGTTGATCAACTGAATGGATAAATAAAATACGGTGTTATCTGTACCATGGATTTGATTTTAAAAGTGAATGAAAGTAGTGATATGTTCTATAGGATAGGTGAACTTTCAAAACATTGTGCTAAATGAAAAGCCCAGGTGCAAAAGGCCACATATTACATGATTTCATGTATATGACCATTAGAAAAGGCAAATCATAGAGACAAAAAGTAGATAGGTGGTTGCTTAGGGCTGGGGGAGTGTGTAGGAATGGGGAGTGACTGCTGAAGGTTACATAGTTTCTTTCTTTTTGAGGTGTTGAAATGGTCAAAAATTAGATTTCGATGATGATTGTGCAGTTCTGTGAATATACAAAACGCCATGAAGTTGTGCACTTTACATAAGGATGAATTATGGCCTCAATAAAAGTGTTTATTTCCCTATGTAGTCTATAAGTAATCTCCAAAGTGATTGCATAGTCCTGGCTCTGTTTTAGGTGCTTGATACATTATTTCATTTAATCTTTTTTTTATATTTAAAATTTTTTTCAGGGTGGGGAGATAATTATGTTTATTTATTTGTTTAATTGGAGGTACTGGGAATTGAACCTAGGACGTAGTGCGTGCTAAGCACACAGTGTACCACTGAGCTATTATACCCTTCCCCCTTTCATTTGAAATCACCATTTTATTAACCTTTCCTCCTCCTCCGTTTCTTAGAAAAATGGGAAAAATAAATTCAAAACATAAGAACTGAGGTCTGTCTAGCTCATGTTGCTCTTCAGGCCACTACTGTCTTAATTTCAGCCATTCCATACTAAGGTAGCTTCAACATTTAGAAAGATCTTCCTTCAGTCAACCCAAATTTGTTTCCGTCTGGCTTCCTTCAGAGTTAGTTGTAGTTAGAATTTAGTGTTCTTTTAAATATGGTACTCATCCCATTTGTGGCATTAAGCTTTTGCAGTAAATGTTAATTAATGTGTGGTAAATGTGTTCTAGATATGTACTGTATTGATCTGAATTTTTATTGGTTGGTAGATATAATGGAAAGAATGGGGAATATTTGTATAAATTATACAGAACTGTGTTTACATATGTTTACTACGTAAGTTCGGATTTAATTTTAAGCTTTGTGAGGTAAAAGTATTGAAGTTAACAGTTATATTCCCACTATTATGGTGCTGAAATCGCACAAGATTGAAAACTTACATTGACTTATCTTAACATGGTCATAGAGTATTTTCTGTGTATTATTCTGCAATAAACTGTTGACCTGAAGAGCAGAAGATTTACTTCTAGACAGAAGATGTATCTTTGAATCAGTTGCATATAATGTAGAAGAAGTTGGATTCAAAGCATGCAACCAAGGTTATTTTTAAAGTAAATTGTAATATATATTCTATATATATTAGTGAAAAACCTATTAAATTAGGAAAACTCTAACACAGTGATTTGCCCAACTAATGTATTGGAGATAGGTTGGGAATTTTCCTCTTTTTTCTTGATGTTATAAACATACTTTTTTATGTGAAATTGAGTATAAATATCGATGCTAATAAACTTTAATGACTCTGTTCATCTGCACATGCATTTTTAAAATAAAATGGAGTATAGCTCAGGGGTAGAGTGCATGCTTAGCATGCAGGAGGTCCTGGGTTCAATCCCCAGTGCCTCCGTTTAAATAGACAGACAGACAAACCGACCTAGTTACCTCCCCCACAAAAACTTTTTTCTTGCATAAAAAAAAATAGCATTTCCTTTTGTACAGTAAGTTAGTCAAAGCTTATTTAATATTGTAACTTCCTTTAGTTCAAAGCTGGAAATACCTGATGAAAATATGAGCTCATATCTACCATGAAATAGGAGCTGAAATGTTTGTTGAACTAAAGAGCGAATGAATATAGAATACATCCTGTGGGAGGAGATAAGAGTACTGATGATGGTGTGCCAGCATAGATAACTAAGAATAGTCCCCTTCATTCAGTTTGGTCTGGTAACACTGTGTACATAGTGTTGAGATTTTTGTTTCTAAATTATTTGAGTGCTCCTCAGAGCTAATGAGTGTTTTCAAGTTACCCACATGGTACTAGTGTTAGCACCGTTTGTGTAAATCTAAGGAAACTTGAATTGTTATTTGTATAAGTATTTTAGTATTGTAAACCATCCCATATCTGTTTTGTAATCAGAGTCAAATATGACTCAGGTATGTCATAGTAAATGTCATTGTATTGTTTCTTACTCGTGCACTTTATGCTTTCTAAGTTATTTTGATTATACATTTTTGTTGTTATAGGACAGAGATGGGAGCATAATGAGAGAATGTGACAAATACATTGGATATGAATTGGGTATAGAATAATGGGATACATGGGGTACCATTGGTAATATTGAGGGTTGAGAAAGAAGTGAAAAATCCAAGAAAGGTGATAGTTGATCAAGAATAACAAAGGGAGGAATAGGAGATAAAGAGTGGAAGACCACATAAAGAAGTATGTATAAGACAGTTACATCTGTACTGGTAGCTAATGGAGTATCCTCTTGATAATTTCTTTATTGGATCATCTGCAAATTCAGAGTTATTTATTCCTAACTGTAGACTGTAGTACAAAGTAAGAAATAGTTTAATAATTTCCTTAGTTTTGCGTATATACACATTTGTTTTTATGTAGAGTCTACAGAGAATCATGTATTGAAGATTCTTTAAAAAGCAAGATACAGTTCACCTTAGATCATCTGCCTAAACTGTAAACCTTCTGACATGTTCAGTAGTAATTTAAAATTCTACTAAATTAAAATTCCAATCTTGTTCAAAGTTTTTTTTAACATTTTTATTGATTTATAATCATTTTACAATGTTGTGACAAATTCCAGTGTAGAGCACAATTTTTCAGTTATACATGAACATATATATATTCATTGTCACATTTTTTTCTCTGTGAGCTACCATAAGATCTTGTGTATATTTCCCTGTGCTTTACAGTATAATCTTGTTTATCTATTCTACAGTTTTGAAATCCCATCTATCCCTTCCCACCCTCCGCCCCCTTGGCAACCACAAGTTTGTATTCTGTGTCTATGAGTCTATTTCTGTTTTTTATTTATGCTTTGTTTTTTTTGTTTTTGTTCAGAATAATTGAACCAACTTTTGTTTTAAAGTCACAAAATGCTGTAATGTCTTGAGTTACTGAAATTATGGCATATGGTTATTTTGTATCTTTGAATTTGAAATTATGAATGATAAAAAAAGTAAGATGTGAATAGTGTGGTTATATCTGTTATGAAGAAATATTTGTTATACGTAAGCCCTATATGCCTATCTTATTTGATTTGTACTGTATTTGAAAAGTATACTGTTTTAGGCCTATAACAACAGGTTTATCATAATGTTAGTTGCATATTCATTCAGTGTGAAGCACTTTAGATGCTTGGAATGCTCTAGTAAGCATATTAGATAGACACCATGCCTTCTAGGGAAGACTGGGTAAGTAAGGAAGAGACTATAGAAGCGTGACATCGGCAAGTATACGGTGCTATGGGGACAGGTCGGGAAGAAGTGATTATGGAAGCTGAAACTTGAAGGATAAGTAGGAGTTAGCCAGGAGAAGAGGGTATTGAGGTGTGCTATTGAGAGAAAAAAATGTATGAAGGCTCCAGGGCAAAAAAAAATTTTTTTAAAGTATGGCTTGTTGAGCACTTGTACAGAATATGAGGTGGAAGTGAGATTTGAGAGGTAGGCTAGGGCGTTTAAAAGTGTGGGCTTACATAAAGGGAGTGAGAAGTCATTAAAGGGCATTAAGTACAGTACTGACATGAATCAGATTTGTTTTAAAGGGCTATTTTCAGTGTGAAGATTGGAGGGAGCAAAACTGAAGGCAGTGGACTGTTTAGTAACCTAGGTGAATAATCAGTCTTTAAGGAAATGGTGTTCTGTGGATGGGAAAAAGTAGATATTAAAATGAGTAAGGTTATTTTAAGAATTAAAAAAGGATCAAGGAGTGGAAAGTCTCCATTAGTTTAGGTTTTTGAGATCATTGGTGACTTAAAGTGCTTTTTCAGATGGCTTGTAAGTTAATGAGTGGTTAGGTGAGGAATTAGAGACAGGTAGTATAGACAAGTCACAAGGAGAGAAGTGGAAGTGTAAATCTTTTAGCTTCTTTCCATAAATAGCTTAGGTTTGGAACATATATTGATGAATTGATTTTTGTAAGGTACTTAGAACATAGCTTGGCTCATAGTAATTAATCTATTAAACGTTAAAGAATTTTGACTTCGATGACTATCGTATATGTCAGATATAATCCTCCTCCGCCTCCTCCAGAAGCTCGTAAGAGCTGATGAGCTAGATTTCATTTCACAGTGATCTGATAGAGTTAGCATTTTCACTTTGTTGGTTTCTTATTCTTACATGCTAAGACTGTGTGAGTTTGTATTTTGTTCCATTGCTAACTAGTTATTTGATGTTGGGTAAATTTCTTAAACTCTTAAGCCTCAGTGCCTGGCAAATAATAGTAAGCTTTTAGATATTTGTTGAATTATTTTTTTAAAAGTGTTTAAGAAAAAAAATGATACAGAAAACCAGGAGCAGTCTTACAGTCACTACTTCTGTTTCTGTGTACTGATTTTGCTTACTTTTTCCTTCAAATTTATTTTATACCCTTCTTCACACACACAAAATTTGCCATTTACTATCTGTCTTTTAATTTTATGCATGACTTTATCTACCTAAATGGATTTTAGTCCATGTTCAATTTCTTCCAGCATCTAACATTATGCTAGGTAAATTTTAAACACCTAGTAATTGTTGGGTTTCTTTAAAAACAGAACATTAGTTAAAAGGTTTATAAAGAATGTATGTCGTTGACAACATTCGACTTAGTGAACACTTTGTCTTCTACAATGCTCCTTTCACAGGCAGAACTAGGCAAAATGATGTGATGTAAGTATGGATATATATTTTTTTAACCCAAGGATTTAATTTTCTTGTAGTTTTACTTAAACTATATGTGTTTTGTTTCTGTTACTTGAAAATTCAAGTGTGCTTTATATTCTAGGTCCGGTTTATCACTAAAATATGGCATCCTAATATTAGTTCCGTCACAGGGGCTATTTGTTTGGATATCCTGAAAGATCAATGGTAAGAGATTTTGAATTCACCTTTTCCCTTCTCTCATATGAATTCCAAGACTATTTAGAATGTTAAATGTGTACTTGCCTCAAAACATAAGCATATACTATACTTTCTATTTTAAAACTTTATGAAGACTCTTAAGTAGATAAGAGAAGATAACGTTATAATTGAAATTGGAATCTATATGTAGATGGTGAATTATTAGGTAATGTCAGGTGGTAGCTTTACATGTTGACAAGTCTTGGATTTCATTTATTTTGATAAATTTGACTTTTTGCTATCTCAGGAAGATATGTGTGAAAGACTAAAAAAATTCAAGTTTTGAAGTAATTTGGCTCTGACTTGCATGGGATGTAGGGAACAAAAATGTTAAAAGTTGTGTTAATTGAGCATGATTAAGGTTCTAAGATTCTAAGAAGTACCTTTTAGGTGGTATCTTCATTTGCACAGTGATTTATAGTGCTTTCACATGTTTTGTCAGATTTTATATCTTAGCAGCATAGTGTTTAGTATTACGAGTTCTTAACTTTGTTACCATTAGGTTCAGATCCTGACTTGGCCGTTTACTCACCTGTGTTGTCTTGAGCAAATTACCTGGCCTTTATGCCTTTGTTTCCTCATCTGAAAAAATGGGATTAATACCTATTTCGTAGGGCTGTTGAGAAGATTAAATTAGTTGTTTTATGTATTTCTCTTAGACTAGAGCCTGGCATATTCTAAGAATATGGATTGGAAAACTAAGACGAGATATAAAAGGTCATTGTAGTAGAAGAAAACAGTGATAAGTTATGTTATTAACTTATTTCTTAAGTTTGTTAAGAAAGGTAAAGAATGGAACCTGAACAAGGTGAAACAGGAATAACAACATTTAATGTATGGGTCATTTGGTTTATTAACTGGATAAACAGACGAGTCTCTGGTTTTGTTTTGTTTTTCCATGCTAACTGTGCATCTGAATAAAGCTTTTCCCTCAGTAGATCATCTCTTGAGACCTAGATTCTTGATCTGTATGCCATAGTGTTAAACATTGAACAATGTGGAATATACCTGACTTTATCTTCTGTCATTCTTTTGATTTGTGACTTTTCCCAGTTTATTGAATTTGTATGCCTCAGTGTTTTTATCAGTAAAGTCATCTTGAAGACCTCTTACAGCTCTGTGGATCAGTGATACTGATGAACATTTGCAGTATTAGAGACATTTTACTTTTTTTTTTTAACTTGGTTTCCAGGACATCAGTTCTTCTGTTCTCCCCTTCCCTTACCCACTCCCAAACTTCTCAGTTGGTTCCTCCCTCATCTTTTGGAGCTTTGCACCTGAGAATACCTCAGGGCTGTCTTGACCTCTGCTTCTTTCCATTTATACGCACTTTCTTGATGAGCTCATCTGATTTCATAGCTTCATTGTTTACATTCTAGCAGCCCACAAATTTATCTTCTCTGAACTCCAAACTCATGTCCTGCTACCTGTTTAATGTCTCTACTTGAATATGTGATGAACATCTCAAACTTCAATATTTGAAATGCTGAACTGTTTCCTCAATCCAAAACCTGCTTTCCCCCCAACTAAATTTTGGCAACTAAGTCCTTGTAGTTGTTCAGACTAAAACCTCATCATGATCTTGTTTCTTCTTTTTCTGTTACTCTTATACCTCATCTGCAAATCCTGTTGTTGAAACCTCCAAGATCTTATCTGCAGCTCACTACCACTACCTTGGTCCAAGTCGCATTACCTCTTGCCTGGATGATCATAGGAGCCTGCCCTACTCAGACTATTCTCAGTAGCCAAAATGAAGCCCTCCCTACCCATCACCACCCCCAGCCTTGAAAACAAATGAAAGCTCCATACTAAAATTTTCCACTGTCTTCCCTGTTTTGCTCAGAGTTAAGCTAGCAGTACTGCCACTTCTGATTATCTTCCTGTGGGTAGTTGAAAGATTATAGTATATGTATAGGGAAAGAACTTGATTTTTTGTATTAGAACACTTTCTATCCCCATCTCCTATTCCCATCTCTTAAGTCAGGTGAAACAGCTGAATTTAGTCTTGTTTCATATCAATATAGTTGAAATGATAAAAGATATCAGAGATACATTAAATAGGTGAGATTGGATATCCATGGGTTTGTCCCCACCACACCTCAGCTTTATTAAAGTATGACATTCAGTAAATATCTAAATGTGAATGTTTAGGGTAATTTGGGAAAGTTCTGTTAGAAAAGTTTGTTAATCTTGGTCTTTTATTAATACATGTGGGTGGTGATTTACCTTTAGTATTTAACAACTTACGTTAGTATGGTTTATTTCTTACTTCAAAACTTACCCAATGTGCAGACTATTTTCTGATGTTTTTCCACTGACACCTCTTATGACTAAATGTGTCTGTTTACCTGTGGAGGAAAATGACAAGACATAAAAATTGCACTCATTGATATTGCCCTTCCAAAAGACACAGGCATGAAGAAAATGGTTTATAAGCTGTGCTCAATATCATTAGTCATCAGGGAAATGCAAACTAAAATCACAGTTAGATATTGCTACACTTTTGTAAATGGTTCTCATGCTTTGCAGGTAAGAATGTGGTTCAGCCACTCAACCAGCAGTATCTCCCAGAGCTAAGCATACACCTTTGATTTGGCCCAGCAGTTTTACTCCTAGGTACTTGTCCAACGGAAATGAGTGCTTATTTACACCAAAAGACTTCTGCAAGAATATTCATAGCAGATTTATTCAAACTGCAAATAACCCAAATGTCTGTCAACAGGAGAATGGATGTATAATAGTATAATAATACAGTGGAACACTATGTAGCAGGAAAAAAGCATATTTATACAAACAACATGGATGATTCTCATAGACATGTTGAGTGAAAAAAATTGAACACAAAGGAGTACATACTCTGATTTCATTTTATAAAATTCAAGATAAGTAAAAACTAATTTTGGTGGTAGAAGCTAGGACAGCGGTAGGGGTAGGTAAGGGTTGTGAATAAGAAGGACAAGAGTGAGGATATTTGATCTAGATGGTGGTTACCATGAGTGTATACATGTATAAAAATTCATCTAGCTGTACAGCATTTTTACTCTGCTTATTATACTTTAATAAAATATAACAAAAAGCTACCTTCTCTTTAAGTAGCATTCAGTGTTTTGAATAAATATAGATTATTTATTAATGGTCTTCTAGAATATCCTTAACAGGTAAGTTTGTCAACAGTACAAACAGTTCACATGCTTATTCTACATAATAAAGGCCCCACCTAGTCCATATAAATGTTTAGCCATATTAACTGTGCTTAGATTTTGAGATCTGAATGAAATTAATTTACTAAAGATAGATTTATAAGGTACCCACTTATTTATATCATCCATTAATTAAAATTAGCTAATGCATCTTGAAATTTTCATATTCCTGTTTGCCTGTTAGGATTCATCTGTGTTGTAACATTTGTCGGATTTTTCCTCCTTTTGAGGTCTCCATTTCTGTATATACCAAATTTTGCTCATTTATCAGTTAATGGAAACTTAGGTTGCTTCTACATTTTGGCTATTGTGAATAATGCTGTTATGAACATGGGTATGCAAATATCTGTTTGACTTACTGCTTTCAATTATTTTAGGTGTATATCCATAAGTGAAACTGCTAGATCATATGGTAACTCTGTGTTTAATTGTTTTGAGGAATTGCCAGATTCCTCAAATAGTGGTTTTTAGCACTTAGTCCACTTTGCATTCCCACCAACAATGCACAAGGATTCCAGTTACTCTACATTCTCACCAACAACTCTTAGATTTTTTGATAGAGTAGACATCCTAATGGATGTGAGGTGGTATCTTATCGTTGATTTACATTTCCCTGATGGTTAGTCATGTTAAGCATCTTTGCGTGTACTTACTGGCTACTTGTCTATCTTCTTTGCAGAAATGCTTGTTCAAGTCCGTTCTCTTTTTTTTTTTTTTCTCTCTTTTTTTTTCTTCTTTTTTCTTACATTTTTTATTAATTTATAATCATTTTACAATGTTGTGTCAAATTCCAGTATAGAACACAATTTTTCAGTTATACATGAATATATATATATATTCATTGTCACATTTTTTTCTCTGTGAGCTACCATAAGATCTTGTATATATTTCCCTGTGCTATACAGTATAATCTTGTTTATCTATTCTACAGTTTTGAAATCCCCGTCTGTCCCTTCCCCATTCTCATTTTTTAATCAGGTTTGTTTTTTGTTGTTGAGTTGCAGGAGTTCTTTATGTTTTCCAGATATTAACTCCTTATCAGATATGTGATTTATAAGTATTTTCTCCCCATTCTGTGAGTTACCTTCTGTTGATTGTATCTTCTGCACAGGAAGTTTTTATTTTGAAATTTTTTCCTTTACACAGAAGTTTTAAATGTTGATGTAGTTAGTTGTAGACTAATTTCTATGTTTTCTGTTTTGTTGCCTGTGCTTTTGACTGTTGTTTGATACCCAAGAAATCATTGCCAACTCCATTGTCATGAAGTGTTCCCCCTGTATTTTCTTTTAAGAGTTTTTTTTTAAATTTTTTAATTTAGTTATAGTCAGTTTACAATGTTGTGTCAGTTTCTGGTGTACAGCACAATTTTTGAGTCATATATGAATATACATATAATCTTTTTCAAGATTTTACAGGATCTTGAATATATTTCCCTGTGCTATACTGTATAAACTCATTTATTCTATATATACCTGTCAGTATCTATAAATCTTGAACTTCCAGTCTGTCCCTTCCCCTCCCCCTCCCCCTGGCAACCACAAGTTTGTATTCTATGTCTGTGAGTCTGTGTCTGTTTTATATTTAAGTTCATTTGTCATCTTTTTTTTTTTTTTTGGATTCCACATATAAGTGATACATGGTATTTTTCTTTCTCTTCTGGCTTACTTCACTTAGAATGACATTCTCCAGGGACATCCATGTTGCTGCAAATGGCGTTTTGTTGTCTTAAGAGTTTTATAATAAGTTTTGGTCTTACTTTTAGATCTTTAATCCATTTGGAGTTAATTTTTATGTATTGTTTAAGGGGCCAGATTCACTCTTTTGAGAGATCATTAAGTTTTTTAAAGAAAAATGTTGATTGCTTGGTTGAGATGTAAATGTATAAAGCAATATATGTGATGATGTTACGGTTTTGCTGAAATTTATGTTTAGATGGCTTTTATTTTACATATTTTCATGTTTTTATCACAAATTAAAATAATTATTATGAGTTTAATAATTGTTTTAATATGAAATACTTCCTTTGAGTGAAGATTTTTCTTCAATATTCAGATAAATTTCCTTGAAGGAAATAATTGTATTAATTTAAAATTATATGACTTACAGTTTTGTTTGAAGTGTTGTTAGGCATCATAACCAGATTTTCCTATTCCTGTAGCTTCTCTAAAAGGATGAATTGATCAATAAAAGTTTTTACTCTGATAGCATTTTTTAACACAACTTTTTTAAATGGTTTACTGACGTGTTATTGACCATGAACTGCACATATTAAAAATGCACAATTTGGTATGTTTGAACATATGCATACATTCCATAAAACCATCACACAGTTAAGGTAGTGAACATAACCAACATACCCAAAAGTTTCCTTGAGTCCCTTTGTAATTGCTCCTTCCCGCCCTTCCTGCTTCCCCATTCCTCAGCAATGCTGATCTTTCTGTCACTGAAGATTATAGGTTGCATTTTGTGAAGATTAATATAAATGACAATTCTGATAGCATTTTATATAGGGTACCACTTGTAGTGTAATTTTTCTCTTATAAAATACGAGCTTATGTGTGTGATACTGATTTTATTTTGTTGGTTTATTTTAATAGCCTTCCTCAATTAGCTTAAGCTATAATGCACTAATGCAGTATTTCTCAAACATTAGCTTGCATTAGAATCACTTTGGAGTACCTGTTAAACCACCCCACAGTTTGTGATTCAGTAGGTCTGGAATGAGGCCAAGAATTTTCATTTCTTACAAGTTCCCAGGTGATGTTGATGCACTGGTTGAGGAAACCATATTTTGTAAGACACATTTCTTTCAGACATTTATTGTTGGTAATAACTTTTTCTAAGCATCTAGGATGGTAATATATATATATATACTACCATCCTTAGGAAAATTGAGAAAATAGTTACTCAGTAATTTTCTCTCTTCTGTAGTTAAAGTGAAGAACCCAATTGAAAAAAGATTGGTTTAGAATTACCGAACTTGTCTGTTAAAAATGAGCATGTTTAATAACCTTCAACATTTAAAATAGTTCATTATTATGCTATTTCACTATTGTATTTATAAATATTTCTGTAGTAACTGGTCAAATAGTTTTTTAACAGAAATACTAAGAGTCCTTGTTAGGTAGATACCATTTTCTAGATAAATATTTGCTTTATAAACACATTTTGAAACATGAATTAAGTTATACATACTAAGCAAAAATCTTACCCTGTTTCAGAATGTTACAGAATTATTTTAGGCTTTTTTTTTTCCATTTTCTTTAAAAAAATTTTTATTAAAAAATTTTATTGTAGTTGCTGTACAGTAATATATGAGTTACAGGGTATAATATAGTGAATTCACACTTTTCAAAGGTTATACTCCATATATAGTTATTGTAAAGTATTGGCTGTATTTTCTGATGTACAATATATTACATCTTATTTTTGTACCTTTAACCTCCCTACCCCTACCCCTATATTGCCCCTCTCCACTTCCCTTTCCCCACTCATATCCACTGTTTTGTTCCCTGTATCTGTGAGTCTGCTTCTTTTTTGTTATATTCACTAGTTACATTATTTAGACTCCACACAGTATCTTTCTTCTTTGACTTATTTTTCACTCCAAATGATTTTAGGCTTTCTTCAAAGTAAGGATATTTACTTGATGGTGTCTTGTTTTTAGAGTGCCACTGAAAGAAAGTTTCACATATTAGTTTATCGCTTTATTTTAACTTTATGTCTAGAGAAATGAATAGAAAGTAAGTCAATAGATAAAGCTGACCAGAAAGATATTGACAAAAATAAGAAAAAAGCTAAGCCAGTTAAGAATGATTTGAGTTGTCTTAAGGAATAGATTCTTAATTCATTGTAAAGAAAAAAATATGATAGGTGGATATAAACTATAAATTTGTATAACTTAATTATATGATTAAGATAAAAATTAGTAGTTTTTATGTTTTATTTAGAAAACATCCACTTTGTATTTGTCGTGCATTATGTTCTTAACTGGGATTTCTTCCTATTCTGAATCTTAGGGCAGCAGCAATGACTCTCCGCACGGTATTATTGTCATTGCAAGCACTGCTGGCAGCTGCGGAACCAGATGATCCACAAGATGCAGTAGTAGCAAATCAGGTAAGGTAGCTGCTTTTTGAAAGGCTTTCTTGTACTTACCTACGGGTCTCTACTTTAGTGGTTTGCAGTGATAGCACATGAGCATACTTCTGTCCAAACTAAATCTGGAAATGATTTCCTTTCTTGCGGTAAGATTATTTTATCAGAAGTAATGATGAAAACCTAATTTAGTGATTTTTTAACATACTAATTTAATTAGGTATATAGTAGATGCCTTTTTTCTAACATGTGAAAATTTCAAACACACAGTGTTTAAAGAATTATACATTGAGCACTCATGTATCTACCTACTATCTAGATTCTACAATTAATGTTTTGCTACATGTGCTTTATCGTGTGTATCCATCTGTCTGTCTCTTAGTTCAGAGGTGATCGTTCCCTGATGATAATGTTAACCAGCTCCATTGTGGCACTGAAGTTAGGTATGGTGAAGGGTAATTAACAATGATCTTGTAATTGCTTAATGGATAAGTACTTTTCAGTTCTGATCTTTGATTTTCAAAAGGCAGAGGTCAGCAAATTATAGCCAGATTGACTGTTTTTGTAAATAATATTTTATTGCAACATGGCCACACTCTTCTGTTTACAACTATAAGTGACAGTTAAATTATTATGACGGAGATTGTATGATCTGAAAGCCTGAAATAATAATTATCTGTTCCTTTAAGAAAATTAGCCAACCCTTACTCTAAGCCATTAGGGATTTATTGAGCCTTGTTTTTTGTTTGTTTTTGAACCTAGAAATTTTTCCTTCTCTTGGCTTCTGAGATACTGCCCTCTCCTCTCCCTATCTTTGTAGTTGTGGTTATTCCTTCTTAAGTCTTACAATTATTTCCCTTCTTTCTTCTCCCTTTAAATATATTTCCTTGTTTTTATATTGCTTCTTTTACTTTCCATTATATATTGTCACTTGAATGATCAAATCCATGCTGATGTTACACTGATGTATGTTGATAGGATGTTGAGGCTTGAACTTTCTCCTGAGCCTTTTTGAAACTGGATAGCTCTATATGAATGTTCCATGGATACCTTAGCACAGCATTCCCAAAACTGAATGCGGAATCTTAAACTTGGAACCTGTTCATCCTTCTGTAGTATAATCAACTTAGTTATATATCCAAGTCACAAACATGGAGTACTTTTCTGTGAAGTCTCCTTTTCTCTTGTATCCCAGTATTTCTCTGTCATAATACTTCACATATTTAAAAATATCTCATTTGACTGCTCTAATGGAGCTCCCTACCTCAGCTTCTTTCCCTCATCTTCTACACTGATAGTAGTTAACATAGGGTGCACATCTTACTCCATGTTACTACTAAAAACCTATTAGTAGCTCTACTATCACCTACTTGGTAAGTCCGAATTGTTTAGTTTGAAGAGTTCCTTCATGATTTGAACTGTCTGCAAACCCAGCTTCAGCTCCTAAATTTCTACTGTTCCTCACACTCTTGCTTTTCAAGATGGTGTTCATTCCTACACGCCATTTCACCTCATCTGCCATGTTTTCTCAGCCTGAGAAAACTTTTCCTCTTAGAAACTTCTTCCTTTCCTTTGAAAAGCTGTTTACTCCTTGTTTTATGGATATTTTTGTTAATATGTTCTACTGTTATTTGTCTTAGAGTGCTTAGAATTATGGTTTAAGGTGTCACATATATGTGCTTTCATTCATTTTTGATAGTCAGAAGCATGGCTTGAGTCCCAGCTTTGATTTTCTGTTGAGTCTGAGCCTCAAAGGTTGAGTTTGGACTCAAGTTTCCTCTAGCTCCAGTCAGTAATTTGACTTATTTCTGTATTAATAATGGTTGAGACTAGATTTATCATTTTAATATATAATAGTATTCAGTATGTATAAAATATCTTAAAAATAAATATTAAGGTGAATCGAACAGTTACTTTATCTTATACTTTGCTTTATTAAGTAATGATGGTTCCAGAATATTTGAGAATAAATTACCTCTTTTCAGTGCATATGGGAAGTCTTACCTTTTAAAAAGTACTCTGGTAAGTTCATAATTATCTCAAAACATGTGCTTCAAGTTAGGACTTTGCATATGAGGTTTTCTTAATTCACTGTACATTAATATAGTTCTAGCAAAACAGGAAAATCTAATTGTATTCTAACCTAAGCTATTGTTAATAATACAAATCTTGGTCACAATTATTAGTTAATGTCCACATAATTTTAGAAGTTAGTAATTCTGTTTAGCTGTATAGTGTTTGCCAGTGCAGTGTTTAGAAACATCTCTAATAACTCAATTCATTTAGTATTAGTTTTCTGCTACTTTGTTGAAATTGGAGATTAAAGTTGATAAATGTTATTTATCTTTGTTTTTCTTTTGTCAACACAACTTGTGAATCACGGTTTCACATTAAACAGTCATTTCTTGAGTGACATAATTTGCTTGCAATGGAAAATGAATCTGTCACATTTTAAATGTAGATCAGTTTTATTTTTTTTTAAATCAGGTTTTTAAGCAGTTAAGAGATGAGCTACTATACTGAGTATTATAACTGTATTGTCATGTCAATCAATTTTTCCCCCCATATAGTACAAACAAAATCCTGAAATGTTCAAACAGACAGCTCGACTTTGGGCACATGTGTATGCTGGAGCACCAGTTTCTAGTCCAGAATACACCAAAAAAATAGAAAACCTATGTGCTATGGGCTTTGATAGGGTAAGTACATAAAGGCATGTTTATTTTGATATATTCATTAATTTTAAATTATTGCTGCAAATCCTTGGCTGACAGAAGTGGCTCAGAAATACTCTAAATCTGATTTTGATAAAGAAACTTCCTGTTAATGAAAACTAGTTATTTTTCTTTTCCTTTTGCTGATTCCAGTCATTGGTTTTAGAAAATCTTTATGCACTGCAAGTTCAAGGCAACTTAAAGAATGAGAAAGAAGATGTGATTTCTCAATATAAGGACAGTGAGTGATGGAGTATTTTGAAAATATTTCCTTGATTTGATTTTCTTGTCCCCTTTTCTTTTCTACAGAATGCAGTAATAGTGGCCTTGTCTTCAAAATCATGGGATGTAGAGACTGCAACAGAATTGCTTCTGAGTAACTGAGACAGAGAGAGCTGCTGATAGTCAAGCTTGCCCCTTCTTGAGGAGCATCAACATCTGTTATTTTTAGGATTCTGCATAGATTTCTTTTAAACTGGCATTCTTGCCTAATGATGTTATCTAGGCACCATTGGAGACTGAAAAAACAAAACAAAAAACAAACCCTGCTCTGTAAATAAAGCTAATTAAACGTCTGTGTAAATTTAAAAAGGGGAAATACTTTAATTTTTTTTCTTAATAGTGTAAAAACTCTTTGAGCTAAGCTAAAACCATGGAAAAAACATGCTACTTTAGTGTTTAGCGGTGTACCAAGACTAGCAAGAGTTTGCTTCAGGATTTTGTTGAATAATTAAGATAATATTTTGAGTGTGTCAGGGCCATTCAAATTGTTGGTGTTGCATCACAGCTACCTTAACTGTTTTTAACATGGATCCTCTGTGCCTGTGAATTTACTTGCATGCTTGTACTTGACTTCTTAGGATGGGTAGCTGAAAAGACCACCATTTTAAGCATTTGAGAATTCTTAAATATGAGATTTATCCAGAATTGAAGATGGTGACCTATTCAGAGCCTTCTTGTCCTTGTCAATAGACTGGGACACCATATCTATTTTTCCCCTCTTACCACACACAGCTATAATCTTAATAGTAAATTTCTCTATATTTGATGGGGGAAATGTGCTGAGGGACAGTATCTTTTGCTCCATTTTTAGGTCCTCCATTTGGAATGTTTTGTCACAGTTCTTCACTCTTTAAAATTTCCTATATAAGTAAGTAAGAATGTAAAAATGGAGCTGCCATTTACGTTTCTTTTGCAAAAACAGTAAATACTTGATGTTGCAGTATTCCCAGATTTAATGAAAGTACCCAACTTAGTTTTTCAGTGAATTTAACATCTTTCTATTTTTACACTGATGAAATTTTTCTTTTAGAACTTGCAAAGATGAAAACTATTTGCAGGTTTTTTTAGCCTAATTTTGGCTTTATAGAGACTGATTTATCGGATACTTTAAAAGTCACTCTTGCTTGCATTTCCCCCTATTAACACGTGAAAGCTGTGTTGGTGTTTTACTGTACATACTTCAGATGCACATAGGAATAGAAGTGTGTTATAAATCTAGCTTTCTTTATGATGTTTCTGATAATATGAAAATTGAAAACTTTACCTTCTCTTGTATATAGTCAGACTTTCTATACGTATTAAAGTTACATTTCATTCTAAGTTCAAAAGTTTGAAAATTATTAGTTTTGCAAGCTCAAACACTAATGTGACCATTTTATGAAGGGTGAAATGGATTTGTGTAGGCAGTTCTATACATAGAAAAACACAGTTCTTACTAAATATTCAGGACCAATGCAAAATAACAGAAATGTAATGAAATCAGAATGAATTAAAGTAAGGCTGTATATTGAAAGTCATATTATAAAGAGTTTGCTTTCTTCAAGTGTTATTTATCCTAAATTATAATCATTAAGTGTTTGGAAAATAATTTTGAACCATAAATTCAACATAATTTCATTTGACTTATCAATAATCTTAGAAGCAATAAAAGAACCATTATTAAATATATTGTAATGTTAAGATGTGAAGGTTCTTCCAAAAACTTGTAAGCCTTTCCTAATCAGTAGTAAACTCTTGTAGTTGATATTATTGCATACTAAACACAAGTTGCTATGTTTTTTTTCCCCTATGTGTTTGCTTAAGTATAAATTTCTTTACATAATTACCTTTAGTTGTAGTTCAGTTACTTTCTAAAGATGCCAAAGGAAACCAGATTTTTCTTTATTTATTTTAAATAGCTAAAACCATGTACTTCTCTTTATATTTTTGAAGTAGGGTTGGAATTGTGTGAAAATGTGGACAGTTTTTTTCATTGTTGGTTAGAATTCTTTTTTTTTTAGTGGAGAGCAGCTTGGTAATAGTAATATTTGGATTATTTTAAATATCAAACACTACCCAGTTTACTATTTGCCTATATTATCAGGGTATATTTAATTGTCCTGTGGTTTGACAAAGGAGAGAGAGAACTCAGATTACTAAAGATCAAGCGTTACGTACTTTGCTATTGGAGGCAGCTGTACCTTGCCTGTGACTCTTTTATTCGCATTAGCCCCTTAGGGTATACTTCATTTAACATCCCTAGTGCCCAGGAAATTGAAAAGTACAATATTTGGTATGAGAAATTCTCCAAAAATGGATTCTTTATTTCAGAAATTTACCTCATTTACATTTCATGTAATAATCTCTTTCCTTTCTGGCGCTTTTCCCACTGTCTTCTTTTTTTTTTTTTTTCTTTTCCTGTTGTTTATTTGTTTGTTTTCCTATTTTTCTACCGGTAGACTTATTTCCCCAAACATAGAAATAATGGCAATTGCTTTTTTCCTCTGGTCTTCCATATGTTTGGAAAAAAAGACACTAAAAGTGCAGCTCTCGGGAAAAGGCACCCTGGTGGAAATTATTTTTATATTTCTCAATGTTTTGTGTTTTGTTTCTCAAAAATTATGGTTAAAATATGTGTGTGTGTGTGTGTGTGTGTATATATATATATGTAACTATATGTATGGTTTTATATATATATATATATATATGTATATATATACACACACACATATAGTTATAACCCATTTAGGGCAGGCAGATATGCTAGAAGTCACTGATAAACTCCAATAGGCTTTTATTGTAATCACGTCTGTTCCCTGAGTATGTGCCTGACTTTTAAAAGAAAAAATAATCAGTTGCGTAGTATTTCAGTACAGAGTACTGAATGAATGAGCAATTTGTGACCCAAAAAAGTATACAGTAAGAGATATATAAATATTTGAGGAACTTGGTACTAAATTAGATGCTCTGTGTTGGTTCCCCCAAATGTTTAGAGTTGTGACTATGATTTACTTAAAACACGTAACACGTTCAAGAATATATATCTATGTGTTTGGATTCAGAATATTTTGCTTTTGGGGAGAGTAATCTATGAAAGTAAGGCTGATTTTTTTCTTTTTGTGGAAATATTTCACATTTGTAATTGCTGGTAGTGCTTAAATCTATGCAAAATAATTTTAAAGTATAGGAAAGAATTGGCAGATAAAGTGGATATTGCTTATTTATGCACTGCATTATGCAGCATATGTTCCTGCTGCTTAATAAGTTTATCAATGTGAAAAGCAGTTCTTGACTATGAGTGTATGCCTGATTTCAGCTTTTAAAACTCTGCATAAGGGTATGATAATGTTTCCACAATCCTTGTTAGCAGCCCAGGAAATAAAAGCTTTGCTGCTTTATTTATTTATTTTTTTATTATTTTTTTATTTTATTTTTTGGTGTTTTAAAGGTGGATTTGGGTAGAGAAAAGTTGGAGCCAATTATACTTTCTTGCACATAGATGGAAACAATCAATGTTTGGGTAGGAAAAGAAAGCTGTTTACAGTTAACTTTAGTTCATGAATTTATACAAAATGATGTTGTATTAATCACTTTTTCTAGTTCAAGAAATTTCAATTCCAGGGTACAAACCATTGGTTTTAAAAATTTGCATTGCCATTCCTTAGTACCAGTTTAAAATAAATGCTTAACATTAGCTATTTGCTATCATTGGGGAATAAGGCAACTTGTAGTATTTACTGATAAATAGCCTTTTTCCCAAGTGTGACTTTTTTGCAGTGTCTACATACGATGTCACATGTTCTGTTTGCACTGTTGCAATATGGATCAAAAATCTTGTGGCATAGCGGTGGGAGAATGTCAGTATCTCACTTGTCCCATTTGTTCTGTTACTGCTCTGTTGGACTGATCTACCCTCTTAAGCCAGTGATCATCACCTAAATGTGAGTTGTGAATGTGTCAACTTTTGCTTGGTTGTTTCAACCAAGCTTTGAATATATATGTATGTGTGTGTGTTTGTGTATACACATACATATATATAATCAGTGCTTATGTATATAATCAGGTGTGGCACAGTTTATCAGCTGGATTCTGGGGGGTGAGTGGATTCAAATCATTTGCACTGTGCTGTTAAATGATCCTTGTGTGCTTGCTGTTACCTACTTTTTACAGGCATCATAATAAAAGCTAGACTATTTCTTTGGGGGGGAAAGAGACTTATTTAATGTAATTTAAAGACTTTTCCAATAGAAAATGAAATACTATTGAAAATAATATCTATTTTTTAGCTTTCAGCAATTGATGGTACTTTGTTGTGGTGTCTGCTGGAAGTCTACTGCCATTATAGGGATTCTCATTAACCTCACCGAGAAAGAATCTTGCTTGTTAGCTTCTCTAGATCTCTATTCTAAACAATCTGTTAGTGATGATAAATTCTGTAGGAGGATCTATTCTGAGCCGTTAACTTCCTGTAAGGGGAAAATGGGTGGGTTACCAGAAAGACCATTGAAGCAGGGTGGGCTGGGGGTGGAGGGCTGGGTATTTGTCTTGAGAATTAAAAACTACAAAACACTTTTGTACACAACTGATTTTTTAAAAAATAAACACATTTTTAAAGATGTTGAATTTTTTTTCCCCCCTTACTGGGAATTCTTAAAAATAAATGCATGCATGTTTTCCCCTGAAAATGGTTTATATCTTCTTTCTGGGTACTCAACAATGGATAGGCAGTTAAGCCTACACACTACTTTAAACAAGAAAAAGAGCCAGGAAGATATTTCTCCTAGGCAAGCTTTATAGCGATAAGCATGTGTTGAGAAATGAAATAAATTATATTAGTTCTTTGAATTTTAAAATGGGTTGACATTATTTACTTCTGTTCAAAGTTATTTATTTGAAAATATGCCATTATTTGGCTAGATTTTAATCCAAAATTTAGAGTAATCAGAAGTAGTAGATACCGAAAGCAATACTATTTAGTTTGTTTTCACACAAGCACACAGATCTTCCTGGAAAGGATGGCTGTTAAAGTGAAAAGGACTCTGAATTCAGTTTCAGAAGGTCTTGGGTTACTATTCTTGAAGTGCTCCTGCCTCTATTTGATTCTGATAATTAGAAGAGGATATGTTGGTTAGGATTTGTATTAATTATTTCACATGGCAAACTGATTGTTACTTTGTGTCTCTAGGGCATTTCATAATCAGCATTCAGCAGGCCTGTTGAGTTTCTGTAGCCTGGAGATGGAATTGCTTCTGACTGGAATACCAGTACGAAGTGCTCTTTTCATGGAGCACATACCAAAAATCAAGGATAACAAATGGAATTCAAGTGAGCTTCCAT